GAGGAGTAATGCAAGTTCTGGAGGACAAAGCTGCTGTTGTAAGAAGTGAAAGATGACTAGAGATGGATTTTGGAGGAAGCAATTGGATGCTTAGCAGCCTTAATACAAATGACAAAGAAGAGAACTCTAAAACGTCAAGTTCCTGCCATTACTAGTGCCCTCTTTAGGGATTAGAATTCTTTTTCAGCCATCGAGTTGGATATCAGTTTAACTCCTGTTTTTGTTTAGGCTTGACAGAGTGTCTATGACAGGCCTGTTCCCATAACAGGATCTGTCCAAGTTTTGCAGGTATAGTGGATTTCAACTTAAGTTAATTGAAGAATTAAATATATTATGTTTAAAAAGTTAACTTTGGGTTTCTATACCGTCTCTAGATTTAACCTGTCAATTTTGGGAGGGTTAACAGTTGCATTGTTCTTGCCTTTAAAAAAAGAAAATTCTTCTTTTCTCTCTCCTGTTGCTATACGCAAAAACCCAAACAAACAAAGGAGAAGTGACTGACTTTATACAGAGGAAACAGTGGAACTGATTGACAATGTGTTTTATGTGCACCAAGTAACAAGCTTAAATTATATGCTTATTGTTTAGGCTTAGTAACCTTGTGTTACAAATTCAGAATAGGAAATGTGGTCGGAAAATGCTACAAACAAAAGATCTGTCTCCTTCATTTCTTAAGATACATCTTTTTGACCCCAACAAAATACGTCCCTGAATCTGTTTTTTATTTTTTGTTCTAAAACACCTGTGGAGGGGGAGATCAACAGAATCATCAAGTATGTTCTAACTGTATAATTTTTCTTACTGGTGAGCCATTTTACTTATAAATTGAGCCTCTTTTAATATGTAGTTATTGAGAGGTGATAAGCTTAGAGCTCTGTAATGCCATTTTTATGGTTGCTTTGAGTAGAACTGTGCTCCAAAGTAGAAAACATACCATTTCATAAAATAGCTTGTATTATCACTGGTTTTCCTTCCAGTTGGAGTTTTACAGTGTTGTGGTAGCCAGACAAAAGTCATAAAAGCATCTTTTTGATTTGAGAAGAATGTGGTTCAAAAAACCAAACTCCTTTCTGTTTTTAAAAACTGGCCTTGGATTTGGTATAGGTCCACTCTTTATAGCCTAAAACCAACAGTGTACAGCTTCCCTTTCCCAGGCAGAAAGCTGAAAATAGAGCCGAGCAGAAAAGTCTGTCTCCAATTTGAAAGATGAGGCCCAAATTTTTCATCTTGGATTGGAATTAGAAAAATCCCCAAATTTGGGGTGGTGGTGGGTAGATTGGAGGGTCCTGGTAAGGTTGCCAGGCATCGGGTCAAAAAGGGACCCTGGCGGCTCCAGTCAGCACAGCTGACCAGGCTGCTAAGTCTGGTTGGCCTCAGTGGTCGGCTCCATGCACCTCCCTGGAAGTAGCATGCAAGTCTCTCCAGCTCCTAGGCGGAGGTGCGACCAGGGTGGCTCCAGCTCCGCAGCTCCCATGGAAGCTGCGCAACCAATGGGGACTGTGGGAGCAGTGCCTGCAGACAGGAGCAGCACGCAGAGCCCCCTGGCCACTCTGTGCGTAGGAGCCAGAGCGGTGTGTCACCAATTCCCGGGAGCCGCCTGAGGTAAGTGCTGCTGGGAGCCCTGCCCCACCCTGGAGCCCCCTCCTGCATCCTGAACTCCTCAGCCCCACCCCAGAGCCCAAACCCCCAGCTGGAGCCCTCATCCCCTTTCCACACCCCAACCCGCTTCTCCACCCCAGAGCACACTCCCAACCCCTCATCCCCTCCCCCAGCCCAGTGAAAATGAGTGAGGGTGGGGGAGAGCAAGGGAGGGGGGGATGGAGTGGGCAGGGGTGAAGTCTGGGGGCAGAGCAAGGGTGTTTGGTTTTCTGCAATCAGAAAGTTGGCAACCCTATGGTAAGGGCTCGTCTCTATTAACTTGGGAGGCTGCCGCAAGTTGAATCGGATATGCTTTCAGTCATTTTATTCACAAAAGGCTTGAGGCTGCTTGAAAACCAAACAAGAGCAATATTTAGCCTTAAGAAGCAAAGAGGGTAAGTGTCACTGCACTGAGGAGCTGGAGTGTTGTGGGTAAACAACCCTAATCTGATCAGACATTATATTAAGGATACATTAACAAAGAACCATTTGTTACAACATCAATTGCTTATTAATTTGTTACAGTCCAACTGGTCTATAAGTCATTCACAATCATGTTTTGTATCTACAGTACACCATCCACTGACCAGTTTATAACTATCTAAAATACACATTACTCGGGTCTATAACAGGCTTGCAACCGCTAACACGTAAGCCATTTGAGAATGGAACCTTAATGAGAACCCTGCATATGCAGAGATGAGGGAGTAGTGCTGAATGCTTGTTGACAGATGAGTCACTCCTTGAAAACCCCACACTGCTTCTTTGGCCATTCAGGATATGGTGGGGAAAAGGGTGAGAAGAGAATTTCTTGACCCTCTAAGAGATGAAGGCTCTTCATTATGACTCTTGCTGCCTGTGCGTGCTGGGGTATCTCAGAATAGCATTATCTACTGGACACTCTTTTCTTTATAACTCTATGCACTTTCTGAACTTCAGCCTAGTCCAATCTTATTTACACTTCAAAAATTTCCACTGCTTTTATTCTACCTATTCTAGATAAAGTGGCAAACTCTCTCCCCTCCCCATCCCATGTGGATGCAGTTATACCAGTATAGTTTATTGCCAATCATCAGCAAAGCAGAATACCCTAGTGTGTTATAAAGCACCTTATACTGTTATAACTTTATAACACACTAGGGTTTTTACTGGCATAATTATATATATATAAAAAAATCACACCCCGCATTAACATAGTGACACCAGTAAAACTCTTTAGGTGTAGACCAGGCCTTACTCTTATTCAGTTGAGGTACAACCTGAAGAATATTGTCTGTCTGGTTACACTTTGGTTTTGAAGTGTCAAGACTTTTTAATGTATCTTTGATTGGGTTGGAAGTCTCTGAATGTGACTGGTTCCTAGAGAACAAACTAATGTGTAATGGTGCACTCCAGCTAAACCTTTAGGCTCCTCTTTGATAGGTTGGTCATCAGATGCTTGCTTTGAAAGGTAGTGCTGGTCTTTCAGGTATGTGTGGCTTTCTCTGATCAGGTAAATCCAGTCTTTGGCTGTTCAGAGGCTGGGTCATTCTCTCTGGCCACCCCGCCCAACTCCTAAGGTATTTTTAAAGCCTTTTTAAGGACAATCTCCACTGCAGTGAGATGAGGCTATTTAAATTGCAACTCCTCTCTAAGCTATTAAATAAAAGCCCAAATTCTCCCCTGCTAGTGATTTTTTTTTTTCCCCTCTCACCCCATGTAGGGTTCCTTCAAGGAACTCCACACACTTCCATCATTTTGGGGGGAGAGATTGCAGGAGGGGAAATATGTATATGGGCAACAACAGTTCACCTCTTTCACCCTCCCACCCCAAGAAATGTCTGTACTATAATATACAGGAAGAAGAGGGGTCTTTTGCTCCCTCTCTTTGTGCATGTGTCCAGTGCAGGGTTTCACTGGGGTTCAGGGGAAAAGGATATGGAGAGAGAGAGGGAAACGTGCGCACCCATGGAGATCAGTAGTGCAGACAACCTGCCGCCATCTGCAGAGGGGACAATAATTTGAGCCTTTGTAACAATTTCCAGTCTCTTTTGGGTGCAGAAGCCTGTGAATGCCAGTCTGTTCTCTCTTAGCTAGCTTAACTGTTCCCTGGGATTTCCTAAGACTTAGGCTTAACAGTTACTAGTTCTAGTCATCTGTTACAAACTTCTCTTTGCCACAGAAAACGTTAAGGCAAAATCTAAGGGCTTGGCTACACAAACATTTAGTTTGTGGAGAGCTGGGGTGTAAATCTACTCCACACTAACCTCCCGTGTAGTTGGTGTCCTTGTGCACCCTGCTGCTGCTAAAAGTTTCCTAGTGTGCGTTGATCTATTCCCATTTCAAAGTAGCATAGGTGAAAACACACTAGGGGACTTTTCAGTGCATGGCAACAGGATCCACACACAGACATTTGTGTGGCAGGTAAGTGTGGGTTAGGTTTACACCTCAGCTTGCCGCAATCTGTAACTCTGATCTCTAACCCCTTGTTTTGGAAGCAGGGCAACTGTTCCAGAGGTTAGTCTGTGAATATTAAATGTCCTTTACCACATGTAGGCATGTGCACAGCCAGGCTGGCAGGATCCTTAGGTACACAGACTTGGTTCTTTGTTTGCAGATCACCTTTTTGGGTCCAATTTTGAATGCAGAACTTCAGATTAGGATACAGCATGGTTTCTGTCACTGCCTTCTGTATTTTTTACCCCTCTTATAATGTGCCCATGTATCTCCTTTGCTTAGCTTCTACTTTATGCTGGGCAGACTTAGACTGATGACCTCATCAGTCCATATGAAGATTTTTTTTTATTTTTACCACTGTGCCAGAAACATAGAACATCCCATGACCTAAATCTGGCTAGTCCCATAATTCACTGAAATTACTAGTGGGTATTCATGTAGGAAGAAATAAACCTGCCTACAAAACATTGTCTTCAGCATATTACAACGTTGTCTTCAGTGTGAAAACATCAGTATGCTTCAGTATTCAACCTGATTACAATAGGTCCTCTGTAAAGCAGTGTGAGGTTCAGGGATAAGTGGAAATATATAACCCAACAAGTTGACACAGTCCAAAATGTAACATGTCTTCAGTATGGAACAAGAATGACATTCAGCTTGATCTGTAAATTATGGTGCAATTAAACTTGTGAAATACTCTGCTGGATATGTACAAAGCTGGAGACTAATACAGGACCAAGTTGGAACGTAAATATGCCAAAATGAAAATAACATCTTAGTTCTGGAAATTAAATGACAAGGCAATGTCCTTCTCCTTCATAATAATAATATTAGTCTAAAAATAATATGTAAAATTATCATCCTCATCTACATTTGTAACAGCATAATACTTATTTCTTTAACAACATTTCTCTTTACTCATACAGCTTTTAGGAACTGCAGTCCTTGCAATTGGACTATGGCTTCGGTTTGATACGCAGACAAAAAGTATCTTTGATATGGAATCCAACAACTCAAACTTCTATACTGGTAAGCGGTGAAGTAAAGTATTTGAGTACCATAAATTCCCTTTCTACAAAGAACTTTCTGATAATGGGCTCTGTCTTCTTTAACCTTCACAACAACTTGCCAAAGTGCAATACTCAATTGTCTGAGATTTTAAGATGTTCAGGTAAATATGGTGAGTCTGGAATAAGCACACCTCTCTTTCAGGGTACTTGGTACCACGTGGATGCCTACACGCGCACACTGGTTTAGCATGCAATGGAGATCTAAGATATCCCATAGAAGAAGAGCACTAATAGACCAGTTTTGCCTCTTTGGCTGGCATTAGAGATGTGTGTCTGTGCTTACACTATGCTTACCAGTCCTAGAGACCTCTCTAGAACTGATGAGATAGAGCATGTGTTTCCCTGTGTGGAGGACTGGCTGATGAAGGACAGTCCCTTGGAAGGGATCCAAGAACTGGCCTATATCTCCAGCAGGGTGTGAGTCACTAGAGCTTCATTCTAAACTGAGTTGCTATTTGTGCAGTGACTTGAAAAAATTACAGTGCAATAAAAGTTATTACTAAGCTCCCAAAGTCTGAACTTAGAGGCAACAGGAGTATGTATGAATCTTGGTAGACCTGGCTCACGTCAAAGCTTTCAAACCCCAGAATATCGTGATTTGGCACAGAAGATGATCCAGAACCAGACAGTCTCAGCAAGGATCATGGTTGTGCACATTGGGCCTCATTGATGCAGTAATATGTTTGGTAGCCTTGGCACATATTCAAATGAGGCAGCCTCCATAGAACCTGCAGGACTTGTTCATAAGCTCACAGATTCATTGCATCCAAGAGTTTGCATCCTATCCTTTACACGCTGGCGTGAAGGGAGCTGAAGTACCATCTTGCATCTACCAGTAGGAAGAGTCCCAAATTCCTCTATTCAAAATTGTATTCCCTGTGGATTCACAAAGGGGATAGGGGGCTAGAACTAGAGCTAGTTAGAGTATTCAATCTGCTGAAAGCTCCTTCTGAACCACTCTTTGTGACATTTTATCCCTCAGGTATAAGGTTAACCTTTTTTGGATCGCTTGGTAAACTGGGGACAAACAGTATAGGTTTTAATACCACTAAATGTAAATATGTACTTCTAGGAACAAAGGATATAGGCCAAAATTACATGAATAGAGACTCCGCCCTGGGAAGCTGTGATTCTGAAAAAGATTTGGGAGTCATGCTGGATAATCAGCTGAACATGAGTTTCCAATGAAATGCTGTGGCCAAGAGAGTTAATGCAATTCTGGGATGCATAAACAGACGAATCTTGAGTAAGAGTAGTGAGATTCTTTTACCACTGGATTTGGCACTGGTCTGGCTTCTGCTGGAATACTGTGGCCAGTTCTGGTGCCCACAATTCAAGAAGGATGTTGATAAATTTAGAGAGGGTTCAGAGAAGAGTCAAAAGAATGATTAAAGGATTGGAAAATTTGGCTTATAGTTACGATTTTGTCAAGGTTATTGTTAGTTAAAGTCACAGACAGGACGCGGGCAATAAACAAAAATTCAAGGAAGCCTGCCACCTGCCTGTGACTTTAACTAAAAATAATCGGGGGGAGGGAGCTGACGGGGGATAACTGAAGCCCGAGGGTGGAGGAGGAGGCCACCACCCACTGTCCCGTGGGGTCTCAGAGCTCCAGGGCCCCCCTGTAGGGGTGAGGCGCAAAATGTCGCAGAGGTCTCTGGAAGTCATGGAATCTGTGACCTCCATGACCTAATCTTATCCTTATAGCGGGGGTTCTCAAACTTCAGTGCGCAACAACTCCCTTCTGACAACAAAAATTACTTCACGGCCCCAGGAGCGCGGACCGAAACCTGAGCCTGTCTGAGCCCTATGGCCCCGGGGGTGGAAGGAGGGGGCAAAGCCAGAACCTCACCTCTCTGGACAGGTAGGCCAAAGCTCAAGGGCTTCAGCCCCAGGCAGGGGGCCTGCAACCTGAACCCCACCACCCAGGGCTGAAACCCTCAGACTTTGGCTTCAGCCAGGGGCAGTGGAGTTCAGGCTTCAGCCCTAGGCCCCAGCAAGTCTAAGCCAACCCTGGTGATCCCTTTCAGGTCCCAACCCAAGTTTGAGAACCACTGCCTTATAGTGATAGAATCAAAGAACTCGATCTCTTTAGTTTATTAACATAAGAACGGCCATACTCAGTCAGACTGAAGTCCATCTAGCCCAGTATCCTGTCTTCCGACAATGGCAAAAGCCAGATGCTTCAAAGGGAATGAACAGAAACAGGTAATCATCAAGTGATCTATCCCCTGTTGCCCATTCCCAGCTTCAGGCATACAGATGCCAGGGACTCCATCCCTGCCCATCCTGGCTAATAGCAATCGATGGACCTATCCTCCATGAATTTATCTAGTTCTTTTTGCACCCTGGTATAGTCTTGAACTTCACAACATCCTCTGGCAAAGAGTTCCACAGGTTGACTGTCCATTGTGTGAAGAAATACTTCCTTTTGTTTGTTTTAAACCTGCTGCCTATTAATTTCATTTAGTGACCCCTAGTTCTTTATCCCCCTTAGTCATCTCTTTTCCAAGCTGAAATGTCCCAGTCTTACTAATCTCTCCTCACAGGAAAGCTGTTCCATATCCCTAATCATTTTTGTTGTTGTCAAGGTTCCTCCCCCACTCTGAACTCTAGGGTACAGATGTGGGGACCTGCATGAAAAACCTCCTAAGCTTATCTTTACCAGCTTAGGTCAAAACTTCCCCAAGGTACAAAATATTACACCCGTTATCGTTGGACTGGCCGCTACCACCACCAAACTAATACTGGTTACTGGGGAAGAGCTGTTTGGACGCGTCCTTCCCCCCAAAATACTTCCCAAAACCTTGCACCCCACTTCCTGGACAAGGTTTGGTAAAAAGCCTCACCAATTTGCCTAGGTGACTACAGACCCAGACCCTTGGATCTTAAGAACAATGAACAAGCATTCAGTTTCTTACAAGAAGACTTTTAATAAAAATAGAAGTAAACAGAAATAAAGAAATCCCCCCTGTAAAATCAGGATGGTAGATATCTTACAGGGTAATTAGATTAAAAAACATAGAGAATCCCTCTAGGCAAAACCTTAAGTTACAAAAAAGATACACGGACAGAAATAGTTATTCTGTTCGGCACAATCCTTTTCTCAGCCATTTAAAGAAATCATAATCTAACACATACCTAGCTAGATTACTTACTAAAAGTTCTAAGACTCCATTCCTGGTCTATCCCGGCAAAGACCAGCATATAGACAGACACAGGCCCTTTGTTTCTCTCCCTCCTCCCAGCTTTTGAAAGTATCTTGTCTCCTCATTGGTCATTTTGGACAGGTGCCAGCGAGGTTACCTTTAGCTTCTTAACCCTTTACAAGTGAGAGGAGCTTTCCCCTGGCCAGGAGGGATTTCAAAGGGGGTTTACCCTTCCCTTTATATTTATGACAGTTGTTCAAAGAGAAGGTTAGGGGATGACTTGATTACAGTCTATATGTATCTACATAAGGGACAAATATTTAATAATGAGCTCTTCAGTGTAGCAAAGACAGATGTAACATGATCCAAGGCTGGAAGTACAACCTAGAAAAATTCAGACTGGAAATAAGGTGTAAATTTTTGACACTGAGGATAATCAACCCTTAGAATAATTTAACAACGGTCATAATGAATTCTCCATCACTGCCCATTTTGAAATCAAGATTAGGCGGTGGTGTAGGTTCTTTCTGTTTTTCCTTTTTTTAAAAAAAAAAATAGTCTCGGAATTATTTTGAGGAAGTCCTATGGTCTGTGTTACACAGGAAGTCAGACTAGATTGGAGGATTGGGCCAAAAGAAATCTGATGAGGTTCAATAAGGATAAGTGCAGGGTCCTGCACTTAGGACGGAAGAACCCAATGCACAGCTACAGACTAGGGACCGAATGGCTAGGCAGCAGTTCTGCGGAAAAGGACCTAGGGGTGACAGTGGACGAGAAGCTGGATATGAGTCAGCAGTGTGCCCTTGTTGCCAAGAAGGCCAATGGCATTTTGGGATGTATAAGTAGGGGCATAGCGAGCAGATCGAGGGACGTGATCGTTCCCCTCTATTCGACATTGGTGAGGCCTCATCTGGAGTACTGTGTCCAGTTTTGGGCCCCACACTTCAAGAAGGATGTGGATAAATTGGAGAGAGTCCAGCGAAGGGCAACAAAAATGATTAGGGGTCTGGAACACATGAGTTATGAGGAGAGGCTGAGGGAGCTGGGATTGTTTAGCCTGCAGAAGAGAAGAATGAGGGGGGATTTGATAGCTGCTTTCAACTACCTGAAAGGGGGTTCCAAAGAGGATGGCTCTAGACTGTTCTCAATGGTAGCAGATGACAGAACGAGGAGTAATGGTCTCAAGTTGCAGTGGGGGAGGTTTAGATTGGATATTAGAAAAAAACTTTTTCACTAAGAGGGTGGTGAAACACTGGAATGCGTTACCTAGGGAGGTGGTAGAATCTCCTTCCTTAGAGGTTTTTAAGGTCAGGCTTGACAAAGCCCTGGCTGGGATGATTTAACTGGGAATTGGTCCTGCTTCGAGCAGGGGGTTGGACTAGATGACCTTCTGGGGTCCCTTCCAACCCTTATATTCTATGATTCTATGGTCAGTGGTCCCTTCTGGCCTATGAATCTACTGGTGGAAGTGACTCCAGTTGCCCTCGTGACTGGTATTGCATTCTCTCTTCAAGGATATGCTAGTGCTATGGTTGCTTCCTGAATTCCTCTCAAAGATGGTGTTAGATTTCCACCTTTAATCCTTCTTTCAATATTTTTCCCGCTCTAGAAATCTGTCTCGGCAAGGCCCTGCTGCGCAAGTCATGTAAACAGGCTCTCTGAGGGCTTAAGCTGCTTCAGATAAAATACTAAAGTCCACTTGGGCTTGTGTGCGTCAACTTTTTAGAATTAGTTCTGCTTTCTTCATGAGCACTATACCTAAACAGCTTGTTTCATTTCATACTTGTTTCATTGTGTCCATGAGGAAAATCTGCTACTTCAATGTCTGTAGAGCCAGTTGAAGACTTTCTGATGGAAAAACACTCCACTGGAAAATTCTCATTCGACAAAATCAAAATATTTCACAGGAACATATCAATTTAATTGCAATCATCAATGAAAAAATATTAAAGTTTTTTGCTTCAATGAGGTCAAAGTGGTTCGTTTTGACTTTTTCATAATTTTTATTATAAAAGTCAAAACAGCATTTCACCTTTTGTCAAACTTCAGTATTTTCAGAAACTTTTTGTTTTGCAGAAAATTGACTTTTTTTTTTTTTCTTCCCCATCCCAATTTAGGATGAGAGGAAACTTTCTGAAATGTCAGAATCTCCTGCAGAATGGAAATTCAAGTTTCAACTAACTTTATCTATATATATTTGGTCTGTCAGTTCACATCCAGGAAACTTGTAGGACTCCAAAGTTTTCTGTGTGTGTGTGTGTGTGTGTGTATATGCAGATTTTAAACTGAGCATTGATTATTAATATTAAGTTGCAGTAGTTGATCAGCCATGGTACTCATGCTGACAATTTCCAGGTTTTGTACTGCGTATCAGGGTCTGGGAGTACAGAGCCTTTACTGAAGGGCCTCCTACTCCAGGACAGGCTGATCTCCACCCCTTTTGAGTAGCTACTTCCTAGGTCTGAGAGCGCACCATAGTCAATTTACTCAGTCACTTGATTCTTGTTGTGTGGGGGTGGCTGAAACTTTTTTTTCCCATTCCTCTTTTTAAAAGGCAGAGGAGGCTGAATTTGCTGTGGTTGTAGAGAATGCCAGTTTAGCTAGCTAAATTGTAGTTTTTGTTATGCTCATGTGCCTAGAGGATTCCAAAAGGCACTCGTTCATTTAAAAAGGAAAAACCACTCTTAAGCTCTATATCAGATGGCTGACTCCTTTTTCCTTCCACCCACATTCTTGTGGAGCCAGTAAACCCTAGGTTAGAGGTAAATCGCTAACCTCATCTGCCTCCAGTCAGAACAATTGCAGCACAGCCCATGATTCTACAAGGAATAACTTGCAGGATTTGGTTCTGGCAGGATTTGGTTCTGGCATAATTCCAGGCTTTCCCGATATGGGTTTGGAAACATGGTCCTGGGATGAGATGTTCTCTGCCCCTTGCCTAGTAATAAGCTTGGCAGAATTAGATTGGGTGTTTTGTTTTTGTTTTTTATAAATTTTAGCAATTAATACTTATCTTTACTTTTACAGTTGTGGGGGTGGTCAGGGCAGGGCTGCATGGGGGCATCATGTGTGGCCAAGGAGCCCAAGACGCACAGGTGCAAGGTAGATCCTGGTCTGGTGGAGCCAAGACCCCAGGCCAGGGCCGTGAGAAGGAGGACGACAAGTACCTGGCTGTAAAGGAGGCCCCTGCCCAGGGATGGAGCCATTCAGCAGCGGGGTGGCTTCCCCTTGCTGCCCTGTCTGGAGGTCTCCACTCTGCCCCACCAGGGCGGCAGCTGTCCCCATATCTTGTACCTGCAGGGACCAGTGCCATGGGCCCTGTAGCCATGCAGGAAGCCCTCTGCAGCTCCACTGCCACGGCCCCCCTCGCGCTCTACCGTGATAGCAGAGCTGCAGAGGGGTCTCTCTGCACTGCTGTGTGGCCAGTGATGCCCAATCTCTGCAGCAACAAGGGGTGGGTGTGGGGGTGTGTGTGTATACGCATGGGGCGGGGGGGCAGGCTGTACGCATGCCAGCTGTGACCGATGGATATTTTTTTCACTGATTTTTGGCGTGTCAGCTAAAATCAATATTTACTGACACCCATCTATTTTTACATTGGATCTTGCCAAGCCTACCTATTAATAATGTGTTCTAAACAAACTGGGCTTAATGACTTGTGGAAAAGGTGGCAGAGGGGTTACCCATCTTATTGCTTCTTTGAACAGAAACATTTGTTTCTTCATTACCTTTCTGGGGCATGTTCAGATGCATTCCCTCTAAAGAATTAATCCCCTGCGTTGCTTTGAAAATGTCAACCGTAGTCACTTAAACCATGGCAAAGGCAACTACTCACAAATGCTATTGCCCTGAGGAATCTATTAAAAACTAACTACAATCTTACAATCCCTTATTGGTGAGTACTTCACCAGCTTTGTTTTCTCTTTACCCCCAGGGGTTTACATTCTAATTGGAGCTGGCGCACTCATGATGTTAGTTGGCTTCTTGGGATGTTGTGGAGCAGTGCAAGAGTCGCAGTGCATGCTTGGCTTGGTAAGTGTTTTTCTTCACTGTAACGTTTGATCTTGGGCTGGGGATGTGTTCTGCAAATGGAGCCTTTTAATAAGGCGAGAGTGGGAACGTCAGGCAGTAGATTCTAGCTCTCTTCCGCTCCAGTTATCACTTGTTTTTGAAGCTTTTCTTCTCTTGTAATACAGATTTATTAACCTAATGCTAAATTGAAATGACCAGCATTTGAAGTCCAATCTGGCTTTATTCCCCATCGAGCATATTCTGTTTGGACAAAGCAAGCTAAAATATTGATATGTGCTGCAACATTCAAGAGTTTAAAAGATGAGATGAGGGATGCCTGGATGCAGAACTGATGGACCGTGCCATTCTTGGCACGATTAGGCATTTTATTCTGAACACCGTATAACCAATACCCTGTGATGCAGATAATAGACAATCCTATAAACTGCACACGCGGCACTGGAGCCTCAGTTGCCATCTTCGAAAGGCCTCGACCATGTGAGCCAACAGAAGAGCTGCTATAGTTACCCGTCGTCCTAGGCACCACTCTTTCTGAGTGACTTATGGGAGGACAGCATAACTCACCTATATACAAAACCAGTTCAGCCTCTCCGTGTCTCACAATTAAATAGCTGTGCGGAAAGTCTTCTGCTGTAAATCTTCACAAGATTCACTGCAGATCAGCACCGGCTGCCATTACAGCTGGGAGAAAGAACAACTCATCATTTGCTGTGTTCAAGGAAGAAATCCATTTCCAGAAGACTCTCTCAAGTGATACGTGTTGGTTTTCTGATATTTTTAACTCCTCCCTCCACCCCTTTCTTCAATGCTTTTAAATGCTAGCAGCAATTTGATCCTCCCTGGAAGTTAGTTAAACACGCAGACTTCCTTTGTGCGAGACGCCATGCAAAGCTCCTGACTGCTTAGGGTCACTAAACATCCCACAGTGCAACTTCTATTGCCTAAAACGATCTGAGTTGATGGGTCTTAGAGCAGCGGTGGTGACAGAAATTGGGAAAGAACACTTGTGAGAGAAGGAGGACACAGGCAATGTCTACATTACAGAGCCTGTGCTGGCATAGCCCCCATAGACGCAATGTACACTGATAGAAGGAGTTTTGCTGCCCGTGTGTATGGACACACGTTCCCCAGACAACATGGTTTATGCTGACAGAAGCACTCGTCTGTCAACAGAGCTGCATTTGCTTGAGGGTTTTGTCAGCATAGCTGTGTGGGTCGGGTGTGGCTTTTTCACACCGATGGCGTGTATATAGCTATGCCAGTATAAGTTTTTAAAGTGTAGACCAGCTTTTAGGCTCTGTCTACACTACAGCAGCACTGCAGCTACACCTCTGTAGCACTTCAGTGTAGATTCTACAGCTCTGGGGGGAGGGGTTCTCACACTGCTGTAGTTAATCCACCTCCCTGACGGGCAGTAGCTAAATCAGTGGAAGAATTCTATCGACGTACCGCTGTCTACAACTAGGGCTATATTGGCTTAACTGCGTCTCTCGGGTGTGGACTTCTCACACTTCTGGCTGACCTCGGCATCTTGTAGCTGCTCCACAAAACAACAGAATTAAAGCAATGACAATACACCATTAGTTCAGTTTTCATAGTTCAGGAGTGACCAAAACGTGTGACTGGCTTCTTTCATTCAGTACACACATGTTGCTTCTAAAGTCTCCCTCTGCCATAATCCTTACTACTCTTCCATTCACATTGCAGAGCCAGCTTAAAGATGTAAAACCTGTCTCCATCACCACTTAAATCCACCACTCCATCACCACTTAATTTCTGAAGTAAAGATCCTGGAACTGGCTTTAAAGTAGTACCACATCCCAAAATAAAAACCTCTAGGAACAAAGTCTAGTTGTATTTCCTCTTTCTCTCTGCCTCCCCATACATATGTTGTTTAATTTATTTCTTTAATCCAGGAAATGCTTCACGATTTACCCATTGAAATGTCACATGATTTGATAGGATTACAGTAATTGTACTTTAGAGATGATATTTAGGATTTTAAATCAACTAATTTGAAAAAACTACTCCTTACAAAGTACTCACAATAAACACCTTGATTTAATGACATAAATCTCTCTTCTCTTCTAGTTCTTTACCTTCCTTCTCGTAATTTTTGCCATTGAAGTAGCTGTTGCCATCTGGGGATTTGCAAATAAAGAGACGGTAGGTTTTTGACTATTGCAAGCTCTTGGCACTGAATATTTCCTCAAGAACTGAAAACATCTTCAGCTATTTTAAGATCACACAATTAGTAGGACAACGCAAAAGACAAATAATAGTTTCAGTGGCATGTAAACACAAAATATCTTTCCCAAAGATGCAAGAGGTATAATGGGTCAAATTTTTTAAATGTCCCGTGATACAGGAGAATTTTCTTAACCCTTACACTTCCCCACAACTACGCAGTCTCTCTCCAGTTCTCAGCAAAGACTATGGGCATGTCTACATAGGGAAATTTATCAGTAGCATGATACCTTTATAATTCCCTGTGTAGACACTTTTCTTATTCCAGAATAAGAGTGTGTCCACACAGGCGGCTATACTAGTATAAATGTAAAAGTATAATCGGTTGTATTTGGCTGGTAAATCTCCCTGTGTAGACAAGCCCCAAATCACAGATTCTGTATTGAAAGTCCCCATTCTTATGTACTACAATATACTATAATCTAAAAACTGAAATTACTCTAACATGAAGATATACTCTGTATATATCATCCATGCTCTTTAAACTTTGAAAAACTCTGGAAGAGATTCCCAGGACCAAATTAGCAAGGTTCTGTTTTACTACAATTAAGACACTGTATAGTAATTGACTTCAGCCCCAATCCTGCAAACACTTAGGGTACATCTACAGGAGCAAGTCTCCCAGCCCAGGTCAACAGACGTTGGCTAGCGAAAGTCGCGTTGGCACTCTAAAAGTAGCTGTGTAGTCAATGCATTTAAGTTGTGGCTCAGGCTGTGAAGTCCATCCCCCTCCCTAGGCTTCAGAGCCCAAGTTCCAGCCCAAGCCACAACATCTACACAACTACTTTTAGCACATTAGCGTGAGCCCTGCTAACCCACGTCTGTTGACCCAGGCTCAAAGGCTTGCTGCCTCAGGTTGTGTAGACATACCCTTTAGGCATGTGAGTAGTCCAATTAACTTCAATGGGATGACTCAAATGCACAAAGCTAAGCAAACACACATGTGGCAGGATCAGGGCCCCAAAAATTTAAGCATCTATGGAGATGTCTGAATTGGTAGCCTCCCTTGTTTTTCCTCCTCTTGTACAACAGGGAAACTTGTCCATTGCTGAAACAAGGCTAGATAAGTAAACATTTGCTCTCATGTATCCGCTGGATGAAGTCTTAGTTTTCATCCCCATCAGATTCCCTCAAGATTTAGAGGGACACTATAAAGCTGGTATCTTCTTACTCATTGTCAAGTATCCGAGCAGAACCAAAACCACAAATTGGAAGTACTAGTATGATGTGTCCATAACCATCTTTCACTGTTGTAACTCTTATCCTGCTATACCTCTCTTCTCAACTCCTCCTTTTGCTATCTCCTTATTGTTCTAAGGCTCGTGCATATTTTTAGAGACCTATGATGCTAACTTCTTTGGAAATGGAAGGTGGTTACCTCTTCCTAGGATGGAGCATTTAAACTGTAAAATAGCTGGTTTAATTACTTTTTGTCCTGAAGAAATTTACTATAAGTAACATAAGTCAAGGTAAAACAGGGTTATAGCTTTGCGCTATTTTTGTAGATTATTGATGAAGTACAGAAATTTTACAAGGAAACCTATGATAAGAGGAATCAGCCAGCTGCTAAAGAAACCCTGAAAGCATTTCAACATGCAGTAAGTATATGGTCACACTTATTTCTTTTAAATGTACAAGATGTCTGTTGTTAAGAAGCCGGGCATAATACATTTAAGAATGAAGTGAAACATCATTTCTTAATTATGATGTCTAGCCTTCTTCTGTTTTGGCAATTTCAGTCTACAGACAGATGGCAGTTTGAGGGGGGGAAACTATTAAGTACCCACACAATGTGTTTGGTTTTTTGCCTTTTTTGTTTTTAGTCTCTAATAATGGTGGTCATGGTGACAAAGATTATACAGTTAAAGTTTAAAAAGGTCTTTGCTTTAACAGTCCCAACTTTTTGTGAGCTCCTGACCATCTGAAAACTTTTCCTTTGGATCTGGAATTTAGGACGTCTCACATACTTGATCTTGGCCCAAATTCATGGGTGTTTTTTGAGTTTGAGCCATCCCCATTTAAAAGATTTATTTTTGTAAACAAACTGTTCAGACATCTTTAGTCTAAAACTTCATTTGTCACTGATCCTCAATGGAAGTTTCTCTGCTAAGACTGGGGGAAAAAATAGACCAAGTTTTCGTTGACGACAAGATTAGCTTTCAACACACGTCTTCAATTTTTGCTGACTTTTAAGATGCGTATTAGTTTTGGGTACAATGTACTAATTCTGATACATCAAACGCATACCCATGGTGCTATGAAACAGCATGTGTAAACAGTGTGATGCCATCTTTACACAAATGTGGAACTGCACAAGCCAACTAGATTATTGAACAAGCTCCTCTGACTTCATTAGATAATATCCATAGCAAACTGTACACCGGATTTAGTCACAGATTCTTCTGGGTGTGGGTTAGATGTAAAGAAATCTTTTTTTTTTTTTTTAAATTGAGAAAGTAAACAGAAGTTTGGAAACTACGGTTCCTGTAGTAATGTTGTGTCATAACATAAACTGTTGCATACGTGCTACATGACAAATGCAATCACTTTTACTATTAAAAGAACTCTTTACTTCCTGACTTATTCAAATTCTCACTCTTAATGTAATGCTAACAGACACTTTAAAATAAAACTGTTAGTGGCACAGTCAAACTGACTGATGTAACTTAAATATTTTGAAACTCTCCTATCTGATATTTGTGTATACCAGTATAAAGTAACCTGTCTTGCTTGTTGTTTTAGATTTTCTATTTTCTCTTGTAGTTAAACTGTTGTGGTCTCACAGGAACTCTTGATCAGCTGTTGACAGACACCTGCCCTAAGAAGGAAGGATTGGAGACACTTACAGTACAGGTAACTGAAGACTGAATTCATTGCATATAGTGGTTCCATGCCATTACACCTACATTTGACAGGGAACAGACCTAGAGAAGCACACTTCTGAATAATGAACTATGGGTGAGATAATCCCCTTCCCTGGGAAGACTCCCTCCTTCTCCCCCCCCCCCCCCCCCCAGGGTTGGTGGTTGGTTGGTTGGTTGGTTGTTTGTTTGATATCCAGGATGCAGAGCCACTTGTATCTAGTTGTGATGGACGGGTGGTGGGGGCTATACTACCAGTCTGGAAATGGCAAAGCATGCAGCCTCCTAAGGACTAGTAGAAAATCCTGATCACATGCCTGTGCAACGTGAGTCGTATACACATTGAAATTAATGGGAGTTGTGCCACTGACTTCAGCGGGCCATGATTTCACCCAGAGCGTCTGCATGCTCGTGTTCAGGTCTTCACAACTCTTTTTCCTCTTCCTGCTCCACACCCCTTCCTCAAAGGGTCCGCGGCAATGCTGCACTGTGGCTTTGCAGCCATAGCTCTGCAGCTGGGATGAACAGAGCATGTGAAAATGAAACGGCAGGTCTTAATTTAATGAGGGGGGAAAAAATAGCACTATCCTTGGAGGAAATTGGTGGGCTTCCTCTAGGTGAGCACATCATATGGAGCAAGTGCTCTTTGGCTCTGGCTACCCCATGAAATCATCATAGAATATCAGGGCTAGAAGGGACCTCCAGGCGGTCATCTAGTCCAACCCCCTGCTCAAAGCAGGACCAATCCCCAACTAAATCATCCCAGCCAGGGCTTTGTCAAGCCTGACCTTAAAAATATCTAAGGAAGGAGATTCCACCACCTCCCTAGGTAACGCATTCCAGTGTTTCACCACCCTCCTAGTGAAATCACCACCCTCCTAGTGAAAGGTGCCACAGCAGTTGAGGTTAATACAGATCCCTGTAGGATCCTTCTGGACCACTCAGCCTTTTATCATTCCAACAAATTCTTTTCTCTTTTAAAGAAACCAAAACTACTCTCTACACTGCCGCTGAAATTCCTTCTGCCAGCTTTTAATCCATGTATTTATGGGTGCTAATATGCATTAACTTTTCAAGTAAAATCCATGTGAGACTCTCGGATGTACAGATACAGTATTGTACATCAACCGCATTTCCTTCCTGATTAACATGAATTCTATCAACGCCTTCAATTTAGCTGATGCAGCTATAAAACTGTGCTCCTGACTTTTTGTGGCACTTGTATCCTCTAGGTGCTACTGAATTCCACCCATTGTTTGGGTTACTACAAGCATGTGGTGTCCCACAACGTGAAGCAATACGAATTAGAACCACAACTTAGAATGCTCTGTAAGGACTAGCAGCTTCACGTGTCCTCACAGTTCCGCTTAAAAGCACGGGATGCTTGCGTGAGTCAGTTGGAATTCAGAGGGCTACAGGGGAGTGTTCAAGGGTTGCTGGGGGTAAGGGAGCGGGGAGACCAGAAACCAGATAAATGGTAGAATTTTGAATCTTATTTATTTTAAACATTCGGCTCACTGTGCTAGCACATGTTCTAGTGATATGATGCCTGTTACCACTAATAGTATAGATTATACAGTTACTTTTATGTACCTCAAATAGGGAGAAAGAAAGCATCTAAGTGCAACCTTCTCCAATTTTTTTTTAATGGGAGTTAAAATTTCAGGCCTCTTTCTCTCTTTTTCTTATGCCTCTGTATTCCATGCAGAACATAGGGCCTTCAACACTGACTTCCATCTTTGCCGGTCTCCTGCTGCAGTCTTAGCTTCCTCCAGTGTCATTTTTGGTAGCTTTCTGTTGTGTTTCCATGTTATCCATGGCCCACCTCATCCCCATCTTGTCCTGGGGGTTTCAGATTAATGCCTCTCTTATGATGCTCAGGTGTTTCCTCCATGTATGTCTTAGCCCCATTTTCATTTGGTCGTTTCCTGTCTTCTCCATTTCTGTTTCATTCTCTAATAGTGGAGTTAATGTGTGATTTTTTTTTCTTTTCTTTTTTTTAAATTAATTTATTTTTACTTTTTGGTCATCTGATATTGAGGATTTGTCGAAGGTAGCTTTTTATGAAAACTTGGAGTTTAGATTAGTAAGGTCTTAAGTCTCCAAATTTCAGCACCGTATTGTAAGACTGACTTTACAATGGGGTTAAATATCTGAAGTTTAATTTGGAGTGTAAGACATCCCTATAACCTGAGAGCTGTGCTGGTGAGGGCATAACTCCTGGCAGGGTAACCTGTGCCAAACAGGTCAAAACCAGTGGTTCTCAAACTGTGGGCCGCCTGCGGCCCAATCGGCACATAGCTGTGTCCCATGTCTCATCTTCAGGGCCATACAGGTTGTATTGGATGCAGCCCACATAGCACGTGTATGCAGTCCACAATGGTAAATAGGTTGAGAACCACTGAGCTAGACTAATCGCAGTCCACTGGATGTCTTGGTAAAGCCTTTGGAGTAAGCTAATGACCTATTCCTGTGTGTTTTTTGTATTAAGTCATTAAAGAAACCCTGCTTCTTTAGCTCAACAAAACCTCTGGCCTAAAACAGGGCTAACCACTGTGGGAAATGAGCTTTGAATCTTAAATTTTGGAACAAAACAGTGCTTTAGCTCATTGCATAGGATCCACATAGGGCTTTGCATTGGTTTAACTAGTTTAAAACAACACATTTAGTTAGGTGCAACTCTGAATACAGATGAGACCACAGTTGCTTGGCTTTCAGTCACTTGTGATGTTACAGTTTCACTAATTCTCCAGTTACCATGAGTTGTGTACACAAGACACTTATTTTAAAACTGTAGTAACAGTTCAAGTGCTAGCACAGGTCAGCCACTACAGTATTAACAACTATGTTGTATAGGGCTGCTCCAAGCAGGGTTCGGCAATGTGTCAGCTAAAAAGTTAGCAGCTACTGGTAACGTGTACACACTAGTACTTCCACCATTGTTGCTAAATCATTGGCAATAGGGGCTGGAAATTCTAGTGTGGGAAAAGCCTACCCTAGACGAGGCCTTTTTCTTTTAGGGTAGAAAAGACCTGACAGTTGTAGTGTACAAGAGAAGCAGGGGGGAGAATTGTGCATCCATTTTTAAAGGCAACCTGCCTCCCCTTTCCCGCCATTCTTTGCAGGCCAGTTTCCGGAGATAAATATTGGCTTCTGCTGTAGTTGGATCAGGTTCAGCATGTGCTGTCTGATCAGGTCGCCGTGTAGTGCTGCTCATAGCACCACATACTTTTGTAAAAGCCAAAACTGCACATAGGTAAAACAATATTTAAGATAAGCTTCCCCCCTTCTCCCCCCCCCCCCCCACGCACCTTTTTTCTTCTTCTTTTCAGTCGTGCCCTACAGCCATTGAGGAGGTCTTTACTTCTAAATTGAATGTGATTGGAGCAGTTGGCATTGGTATCGCTGTGGTAATGGTAAGTTTCTTGATGCTTTCAGTCAATTGAATCTGATGGGAAATTATGACGGCCTTCTCAAGTTAAGATGTGCTTTTTCCACTGATCTGATACCTTACACTGAGGATCTAATCCTCCTCTCCTCCTTCCTCACACACACATGTCACCAAGAACAATCCTGCCTCTATGATTGCAGTACAACAGAGTGTGCCTTGTATTGATTTAAACTATGTAGTCTGCCATCTGAGCAAATGGTATTTACAGATATGCTTTGGTGCTTTGGTTTTCACTGTAAATACTCTAGACCCTAGGGACCCTAGAATTGTGAGCCAAGAGCAAAAATTGTGTACGTTTTCCCTTTATTGTGTTTTTACTTGAGAAGTTTAATTGAAGACTGATACTTTGACTATAATACAACTGCATCTTTTTCCTCTCCCACTCCACCCCAGAGAAAAGTCTGATTGATACTAGTATGTTCCCCTTCTTCCTTGCTAGCTGTTTACCCAGCCAGTCACATCATGAAAACTGGACTAAGAAAATGAATTTTTAAAAAATTAGTTTGAAGTTAAAGTATCTTGCCTCCTCTCATGGATAATATAGTGCTCAGGCACTTGGAAATTTGTGCCAGGCAGAGAATGAGACTAAGCTGTATTAAGAACAACTGTTTTTAATAACTCACTAAAATCCTGCATGCTGTCTCCAAAGAAATTGGTGGAAAGTCTGCACTTCCTAGCGTAGCTGAACAACGCACAACCTGATAGCCCTCCACACGCTGCTGCCCAAGGTTGGGGTGGGGACCTTTTTACAGAGGGCACCTCAGGTTATCTATTCCTCTCTCAGGGGAGAGTGCTTTTGTGCCTTCCCTTGCCCTTAAGATCAAAGAGAGGTCATGGTGGTGGCTTTTATAATGGGGGGGTGGGAGGGCTCTTATAGGGGAGAGGTGGGTAGGGAATAAATAGCTGTGAAAAAGAACACTGCCTATAGGCCAGAGAGAGCAAGAGCACCCACACTTATGTTTTTAGGAGCGCTGCATCACCAGAAAGCTAATCTTATAATGTATTCTAATTGAGTCTGCTTTCCTTTTCCAGATCTTTGGCATGATCTTCAGTATGATCCTCTGCTGTGCTATCCGCAGAACCAGAGAAATGGTTTAAGGGATATAACGAAGAAGATCTCTGCACTCTAGAAATGTCTGTTATTAACTTCAGCATTCTTAAAGCATTTCTAAAATTATATATTTGTTACCTTTTTTAATGCTTTATTTGGTACTGATGTTTTACTTATTGCTTTTTATGTTTATAAAGATTTAAAAAAATCCAGTGGTAAAGGGTACTATATTTGTTAGACCAAAGTCAAAGATATTGTACATAAAACAATTTGTCTTTAAATGGCTGTCTGGTTTCTTGAAACTCCTCATAATCAGGATGTAATTTATGTTGAAGACAATTTGATACTTAATAAAGATTAAGACCTGAAATGCGGAGTGATTAGGTTCTTAATCTTGCCCACATGCATGCGCCCTCCATTAAACCGTGTTGTCAGCAGTCTGCGCACAGAAGGTTTGGAGACTGAACCTGCACAAGTTTCTGCTTGGAGAAACCTGCACCTCATCCCTTTTCCCCTCACCCCTTTCTTGATAAGGGTGACATGATGGGGGGAGAATAGCTGGCAGTGAGAGGCCATCTGACCTATTAGCATTATTACAGCATTGCGATAATTAACATTAAATGGGTAGCATAAAGCTAAGCGCCTTCTTTCAGTTTAATGTAAGTGTGTCAAGGCCACCCTTTGGGTGGAACCTATTACAATTTATATTACAGTGCCTAGGGGTCCGAGCCCATGATGGGGGCTCCTATGTGCTAGGTAGTGTACAAATATAACAAAAAGACAGTCCCTGACCCAAAGAATTTCCAGTCTTTTCCACCTCTTAGACCTGAAGAGTGGCTCTTTGAAAGTGAAAATGCTTCATTTTAACACAGTGAGTTAAAAGCACACAGAGTTACATTTGGCAAACAGCTCTGTCCATGAAGAAAAGGAGGACTTGTGGCACCTTAGAGACTAACCAATTTATTTGAGCATAAGCTTTCGTGAGCTACAGCTCACTTTATCAGATGCTTTTTCTCTCTTTACCTCAAGTGTTAACTCGCTGTTAGCAAAAATTCAATAATTCACAAACAAAAGTAGCTGGCATCTATCACAAAATGAACACTACTCAAGTGGTAGCAACTACTGTATTCACTTGTAACTTGCTCACACCAAAATGATACAAGGGATGAGCTTAGCAAGGTTCTACTGTAAAATGCGAAAAGGTAAATTAAGGCAGCATTTAATGGGGTTGCCAGGTTTGGTTGGACATATTCCTCGAGGGTTCATCATATAACACTCTTTAATTAAAAAGATTAATCTCGAATTCCTGGAGACTCCAGGACAATCCAGAAGAGTTGCCAACCATAGTAAGGGTCAGAGCTTAAAAGCAAAATGCTTAACTAAAAGCTTGGCTTCCCATGTTATTGTCAACTCTGCTACATTAGCTATACAGTGCTTTGGTTTTTGTTTTTTGTTTTTAAATGTACACTGAGGAAAATCAAGCATTTAAATTAGGAAATGACAAGTCCAGGTTGAATGTTGACTCTTTACTTTTTGTGCATATGTGTGTAAAGTGAAGCTTTTAATTACGCTGTTTCCCAAATACATTAACATTGCACAAATTCCTTTAAAATGATTAGCATTTTAAGGACAGCAGGGAAGGATTCTGCTGTGTCAGTGAGACACTTCAAACTGTCCAGGCTGTAGCCTCAGAGCAGCTGCCTTAATGTCTGGCTTTATAGAGAGAACCTGCAGTGATGTCACAATGCTTCACTAAACTTCTCAGTCAGATGCTCACTGGGCATGCTCAGATTACTCAATGACTTAATTATGTGTTCTTTCCCCAAACCTACCACAACATGTTGTTTAGTCTATTGTGTGCCAAATTTCATATTTCCATCTGAAAACAAAGTAATAATAGAAACAATTTTTCAGTCTTAATTATAGTGGCTGCTTCCAACAACCATTGTAACTGAAGCATACAGAAACAGACATTTTAAATACTGCAGCTGTGCCAAGGTGAAAAGCTAATACTGCCATGGAACCTTTAGTTTATGAATTATCAGCCTTTTCTGCAGGTACATTCTGAACATTGCATTAAGGTTGAGAGTGGGAGGCTGGCAGAGGTTCTGTACAAAAAAAAAAAAAAGTTTTAGCTAGAGCCTTAGATTGTCAGAAGACTTGCACTCTAATTTCTACTTTGCATGAGCCTGCAGTGTGACCTTCAGCAAGTCACAGCACCCCTGTGCCTCAATTTACCTTTTCCGCACTGTTTGTCTCTTACTTAAACTGTAAGGTCTGAAACAAAGACTCTCACTAGGTGCGTGTGCAGTGCCTAGGGGCCCTGAACTCAACTTTAGGGGCTACTGCAACATAAAGAATGTGTTTACTACTCTGTTCTCTGCACAGGTGTGGAGAAGCAAACATTAAGGTGCTTATTGTTGCTAGATTAAGTAATGTTCACCATGCCATGTGTAGACTCTAGAGGGTGCATATATTTCTTAGTAAAGTCTGAATTTCCTGCACCATCCCTGCTCCTCTTAAAGCTTAGCTCAATTTGCATTGATTGAATGTGTTCATGCCTCCATTTTATGTGGAGAATTATATCCCGGCATGTACTTTAAGGAATGTCATATATGCTGTTCATGCTTAACCTGCAGTTTTTTCAAGTGTTCCTAACTTTATTTCAAAACCAACAAGGCAAATCATGCATGTGCATTGTTCAGGATGATGCTAATAACATCACTTCTCTAGCACATGTTATCCTCCACCTTCACTCTGCAAATTACACAGACAGAAAGGGCTTCAAAGCAAGCAGGGCTAGGCTCCGTTCCCTCTTTGAATGGAAACTCCCTGAGGGGAAAACCTAATGTGAGGCTGGAACTGGTGACTCAGGAGGTGACACCCTTCCTTCAAACATGGTACTCTCCCAGTGCCACAGCATGGAGGCAGGGAGCCCTGTGTTGCAAGAGGTGCCATATTTAAGATGAGACCTAACAGAGAACCTGGACACTTGTGTACCATTTCAGTTTTCACAATAGACCTACCAGACTAGACCGGTGAAAAAAAACTGTAAGTATGCTCTGGCTCTGCTGACCTAAACCACCTTCCTTTGGTTTCAGCTGGGTTCATTCTTCTCTTCCTCTTTTAGTATTGTTGACCTAAACATATAAACTACCCCTCCCTGGGCTTCACTTCAGGAGTAGGCATTTGAACAACACAAACACCAATTACCATATCTGGGGGGAGGGATGGCTCAGTGGGTTGAGCATTGGCCTGCTAAACCCAGGGTTGTGAGTTCAATCCTTAAGAGGGCCATTTAGGGATCTTGGGCAAAAATAAGGGATGGTACTTGGTCCTCCTATGAAGGTAGGGGACTGGGCGTAATGACCTTTCAAGGTCCCTTCTAGCTCTATGGGATAGGTATATCTCCACAGTATTGTAAGACCAGTACAAAGGCATATAACGAGGATGCTAAAATATTCTGGTTTTGTGGTGCTGTGGCCTGTTGATTAAAACAAGAAGTAAACCTCCACAGGCATAAATGGGTTCCACTGACTTCCCATAGAGCTACTCTGACTTGCACAAACTGAGGATCTCTCCTCCACACTCAAATGTAATTTAGCCTGCTGCCCAATGAACTTCTGTCCAGGTGCTTGCTTCCATAGCTTTTTCCTTCGGAACTTCCTGGATGAGTTTTCTGTCTGCTTCTCCATCTTCACATCATCCTCCCCCTTAATCCTGTTGTGGACAGTTCCCTTCAAGGCACCTTGTGAGGGGTGATGCCATGTGCACAAATGACAATTAAATACACTCATAGAAAACCTCAAGTATTGTAAGTAACAAGGGAAGAGCGAACTACCTTTCCCCAGGGAGAGGCTGGAAATGTGACACGAGAGTTTTAAAAATTGGACAGTGCAAAAAGCTCATTGTCCCTTTAAGAAAGGGAGCAGCAGGGAAAGTGCAGGGAGCCTGCAGCCATGCGGAAATGTGCCCTGGCTTTATAGGAGTGCACACACTGATAGTGTCTGCTGGCCTGCAGAAGAGTAAAGAAATCCCTGACGTTATCCATGCCCGTGCCTTCTCCATTCTACACAGTAACACTTACAGATGTTTCCAGGCCCTCAGGGAGGGAATAAGAAGGGTGGTACTGTTTATCAGAAAAACTACTATTCAAACTAAGAAACAGACAAGTGTGAACATTAACTCAGCACAGTCCAGAGCTAAGTTTGCTGGGTTTCTATGTTTAGAAGGTGGCTTGTGCCTGAGGGCTGCTGTATAATTACTATAATCATATATTAATCCACATCTATGGTTTCTGCTTGTCAGCAGCTGTATGAAAATCACCTAGTTCAACCTAGCAGCATTCAGGACTTCTTCAAGCACTAGCAAAAGTCATTTTTAAATGACGCTAGAGCATCTACAACATTTGCAGGCTTCGTTAGCCAAGATAAAAATAGATGAGTAAGATTTTCCAATGTGGGACACAGACTTCTACATTCTAGTCTTGTAGAAAATGAATCCACAAGGCAGCCATTCACAGAATCTGAATGTTTCACTTTACTAAGTGCTTGTGTGATGTTCAATAGATATTCAAACTGAGGCTAAGTAGTGACCTTTTATGCATTTCTCTTAACACTGGCTTTATCACAAATTTCCAGCAAATCCAGTTGCCACAGTCCTGCTGTTTTGTTGTATAGCAGAAACAGCTCTTGCTAATCTGTGAGCATTAAGTATGGCAGAACTGTTTGATTAAGATGTTTATGTGTATTGCAGGGATGTGTGAGGATGTTATAAGACTATAAGATTGTTCCACGCAGAAAGAAAATCCAAGTTTGTGACTGGTTGAAAAATCAAGCGCCATGTCAATGTTTCTTCCACCTCCTTTGGACTTCAGGAGTGCAGTTTGGTAAAAGCCCATCAGTTTGTCTTTGAACACCTCTTCTTCCAAGTATTCAACAACACATTCCAAATCTCCCCTCTAATCTCCTCAGTGGAATGTTTTGTTAAATAAAAATTGCATTTAAATTCAAGGCCATGTGAGGGTGTGAAGTATTTCTGATGAAGACATCATAACGTACGGTACTTATATGGTCCCCGTCACCACAGTGTCTGAGCACCTCACAAGCTTCAATGTATTTGCCCTCAACACCCCTACGAGGGAGGGTATTGCTGTTATTGTCATTGTACGGATGAGGAACTGAGGCACAAAGATACTTGTCCAAATTGCATCAACCAGGGAATCAATGCTGGGTCACCTGCGTCCTAAACTACTGTTCTAGCACTGGACAGTCCTTCCTTCCATTCCACAAATATGTATCCTGAGATACGGAGGCTTCATGCTTCAGTGAAGATCAGGAATGACCTGAGATCAAACATCACATTTATTTA